CACACACCCCCCTGCCTTTCAACGCCTGCAAACCGATGCTTTCCCTTGGGCACTACAGAGCAGGCCTCCAGTGGTTCCTCCCTTGTTGCCCTCTTCCCCTCACCCCGGCCAGTCCCTGACTGCCTCCTCCGCCTCTGAAAGGCGTCCACTTCATTCCCCAGCCTTAAGTAGTATGCCCGCTGTGCTGCATGTGATCTTACCTACCTCATACTACAAGCCTCTGGGACCTTCAGCACAGTACATGGGTTGCCATGTCATAGCAATAGCGACTTTGACGACTCCTATAAAGAACATAACACAGGCCTCCTGCTGCTGGGAAAGAACCTCCACCATCTGGCCCAATGGCCCCCCTATGCAATTAACCTGTTTTCATATTCAAGGCTCCATGTGCTCATGCTGGCCTGGTGAGCAAGGTGCTCGTTTGAACGGAAAGACCACCAGGTTGGCTTTCAGCAGGCCCGGCAGGCGCTGGAGGAGGTCACCAGATCCCACACCCACGAAGCCTGGAAAACCATGAAACAAGACCATAGGGGGGGGGAAGGAACCGCAGACCAGAGCTGCCATCATCGACTCCAACCAAACATGGCAGGACCCCCGCAGGCTGTTCAGCGAATTGGACGCAGAACTGAACATCCTATGGAAGCCCTGGAGGTCCTCAGAACACACCTGGATGAGAAGGCCCATGAATGACTTCCACACCCCGTACCTCCAAACTGACTTCATCCTGCTCCCGCATCCCACGATGCCCAGTCCACCACCCCCTCCCTTTCCGCCACGCCCCCACCCGCTTACCTCTGTTCCCCCCTTCCCACGACCACCCCCCCCCTCCCCCGCCCCCTGCATCCCCCGGCCCCACCAGGATTGACAAGCTGTGGGCCCAGCTCTGGTGGGGGTCTGTTTATCAAAAGCCAATGGGAGTACCATTTGGCCACATGTTATGTTATGTTTTGTTTTGTTTTTTTCTGCCGTGGTGTTTTTGGGGAGGGTAACTTCAGTAGAGTCACAAAAATGAATCGTAATTGCACAATGGGGCAAGATACAGTTTGCAATTGCACTTTGGGCACCCTACCTGGCCAGAAAGGTGGGTTGCATACATTGCCCGAACTGCCATTTGACTGTGTATCTTGGCCCATAGTGCAATTATAACTCAATTTTGTGACTCCTACGTGGTTTCCCCCTTTTTCTTGGTCATTTGTACCACCCAGTCCACGTAGCATCACCCACTCACCCCGCAGTCCCACCCCGTCACCATAGCGCCAACCGTTCCATGTAGCATGACCGGCTGCATGTGGTACCGCCAACTCCCCACCCAGTCCACGTAGCATCACCCACTCACCCCACAGCAGTCCTGCCCCGTCACCGTAATGCCAACCACTCCATGAAGCATGACCTACTGCACGTGGTACCACTCAATCCATGTAGTATCACCCAGGCCAATAACACCACCCAGCCGCCGTAGCGCCACCCAGTCCACATAGTGCAACCCGCCTCACGTAGTACAGCCCAGGTCACAACGTTTCACCCAGGCCACGTACTAATTTTCAGAGCTGTGCTGAACCGCCAGAGGCGCATTTTTTTGTTTTTTGGCTGGAGCC